TCGTCCGATTCGGCCCCTGGACGCTGGACTGCTGGAGGCCCCCTGCCCGGCTGCCCCCCGTGTCCGGCTGTCCCTGTCCGCGCTGGGTGCATGCACCTGCGACTGCGAACGAGGCCTCTGTCTGCCTCTCCCTGTCCGCCCGTCACGTTTTCACGTGGGCGTGGCGGGAATCGCCGCTGCGGTGCCTGAACCTGAACTGAATGACTGGCCTCTCCAGTCTCTCTCACCCCAGTACCCCCGGGGAGCGTGCACGCGTCGGACGCCTCGGGCCATGTGCCGGCACGTGAAGAGGGTGCCGACGCAGCGTGCGTGAGGCTTCCTCCGCCTTCTTCCTGTCTCTGGGAACGTCCGTTGATCACAGCAGAGCATGGACAACAAGTCCTTGAGGTGCTTGTGGACTGGTTTGTCCATGTACACTTGGTTTTTATGGTGGCCAACAACATGCATGCATGTTTACTTTTAGTTAGTTTTTATTATATATATTATATTATGGTAGTGGTAGAACTTGATGGTTCAGGAGCATATATAGGCACATCATCGTTATGGTATTTTTTAATAATAGGTAATAATAGCACATATATTGATAATTTAGATGTAGATTTGAAATGGTATTTTAGTTTCACTACTGCACAAAACATTTTCACCGCCTGTTCAAAGGCAGACTTGGCTGGTGGGGCAAAAAAATGGCGGATGATCTTGCGGTGAAAACTATCATGGGTTTCGTTGCTGGACCATCCGCCGAACTTATCACTACCGGTTTTTGCCCACTACGCCACGCCACTAACGGTGATGAGAAGTTTTACCGTCGGTTGGAAGGTAGATAGCGCAGTGGTCATTTCAGCCAGCGGTGAAAATCGCTATCACCGCTGACTCGATGGACGGTCCGGCGGTGAAAAGCACCACAGTTTTCACTGACGGATCATATGCCGAACCGGTGGGCTGTTCAGCCACTACGCTCCACCCATTATGATACGAGGACAACATTACTGATGCTATTAGTATTATGCTACATTTAAATTAGTATTCTAAAAGTGCATTATCACTGCTGACCTAGACAAATCGTTGGTGATATGGTAAAACTGCATTATCACCGCTTGTTTGCCTTCTCTTCAAATCTTCTGCATGTCTTTTGGCACGCACAGGTGGGCACTGCATTGTTACCGAACTCTATCACTCTATTGGTAATTTGGCAGTAGTATGGGATACCAAAGGTCTCGAACTCCAGCAAGGTGCCGTGTTCGTCGCCGCCGTCGCCCTCAGGCACGGTTGTGATCAATGACTAAGTTGCTCTCTTCCTCGCGATCGTTACACGAAAGGGCAAATTGGGCCGCCTCCACATTTGGGCCTCGCAGGGCCTTGCCTCAGTTGACCCATTTAGGTCCAATAGCTCTGGGGTTCGCCTTCCTAGACCGCGCTCCACCTCCTATCTCAGCTTCTGGTTTCCACCTGCTCTGCTTGGTTGTTGGGAGATGTCTTATGCAGCAAGTTAAATCTGCCCTTGAGGGCATATGCCCCTACCAACTGTGTCGTTGGATTCACATTCCGGTTCAATCAATACACCTATACCTAATAATAAACAGAATTGGTAGGGTGAAGGCTTGTACGTGTTGTGTTGTGTGGTCTTGATGATCATGAAGTCCATCACGGTTCAATCAATACACCTATACCGAATAATAAACAGGGTGAAGGTGTGTACATGTGGTGTTGTGTGGTCTTCATGATCAGGAAGTCAGGACTTCAGTTACACGCAGTTGTCGAACGTTCGGCGCGCTGGTCTATATAAACCAAGTGCAGCTAGCGCAACCAGTGCAGCAATCAGCAGACACACTCAGCGAAGAAACCACTCTCAGAGCAAGCAATGGCAGCGACGACCATGATGAAGGCGTCCTTGGTCTCGGTTGTGCTGCTCTCCGCCTTCCTCATGGTGTAGGGCGACTTCATGCAGTGCTATTGCGCTTGCTTCAAGAAGTGCAAGCACGAACATCCTGGTGCAAGCTCTAACCAACGCTGCCACACATCGTGCTTCAACAACAAGCCGTGCAAGTTCGACTGTCATGTCGATATGCTTATCGGTGAGTTCAATTATTCTACGTACTTCATAATAACTCTGATTCTCTTTGCCTACAGTAGTGTTGACGGTCGCCAGAGACGGAGCTAGGAAGTTGATTTTTTGAATGTTAGGGGGCCAATAGTGTTGAATTTTCAAAATTTATTTGAATTTTAAAAAAAAATAGTGGAAAATTCACATTCATAGGGGGGCATGTGCCCCTGCCCGCCCCCCTGTCTTCCCCCGATGGTTGTTACAGCAAAAATAAACCATCAATTTAACTTACATTTATCCTTAAAATCAATCACCAATATAGGAGTAGATGTTTAAAACTAACAAATTCCACAAGTCTTGGTGAGTATTTGTATGCAAGCTGATTTATCTAGAAAACTGACCAAGTGGCCATATTACGTCAGCAAATCAAGATATTCCGCAACAAACCGACTCTGCTGGCCTCAAATCCACCATCCATGACTTACCGCCAAAGATCAATGGCAGTGGAGGCCAGAGGGGGTCGACCGACCCCCCCCCCCTAGGTTGGGCGACCCCAGGGTCCCTCCTGTCAGCCTCTCGTCAAACATGGATTCTCCACTGACCTTGAGGATCAATCTCCACCATGCTTTGAAGTCAGTTTGGATTGGAGGGTCGAGATGCAGCCGTGCCATGGATTTATAGGCCCACAGGATGCCGGGTGACCCCTATAAAAGGACCCCAGACCCCCTCCAGAAGGGATCGCGATTGAACAGAAGAATAATCCTTTAGAGTAGGCCCTATTATTTGTTCATAGAAAATAGAGAGATAGAGAGTAAGGGAAAAGTCTAGAGGAAGTACCTGGGCTTGTCGGTGTTCTCTCTTCGATTTGTACCTTGACAGATTTAGGTTCTATTCAAGCCTGCATTTTGAAGACATCTCTAGTAATAGATTTCTAATTCAAAGTAAGTATTGTGTTTTTGTGTCCATCAGGATCATGGCTTGTTTGAGTGTTTTAATCCTTGTTAAGCTCCTGGGTTAAAGTCGTAACCGTTAGTATAGGCGTGGTGCTTAGACTTTTGGTTACTCATGGATGCATCATATATTCCGAAACATGTGGTAGATCGCGTGAGCGATAGTCTCGTTGATCCTTTGCAGTCCACCTCCCATCTATAAGCCTAGTAGGACCCGGTTGCGACAGAAGAAGTCATACTCTGTTGTGCTCTTCCTTAATAATGTTCCTAGGTGAACACTAGAATACAAATATATCTTAAGTTAGAAGTTAAGATCCTTAGAAGTCCTCTCTACACTTCTTTATCTTTAACCTTGTTGCTATTTCTGGGTAAGTTAGTTCGTTCTTAATCTCACATGTTTCCTCGTGGATACGATACTCATAATACTCATTCGAAAAACTACTTCAATATCCATGCACTTGTGGATTTTTCTTCGTGCCACCACAGGTGTCAACAAGCTTTTTTTATCGCAATTGCCCTATAAATATTTATGACTCCAAATAGATATACTCTAAAATATATTTCATGACGAATCTGATAATATATATTTACTATGATAAATATTAACATCTTTAAATTTAGTTAAACTTAAGATGTTTTGACGTAGTAATACTATGCTAACTGCATCTTTTATGGGACAGAGGGAGAAAAAATATTAGATGTGAAATGTGCAGTAGATAGATAGATAGACGAAGATAGATGGCACAGATGTATTTCAGGTCCCACGGAGACTTCCTTCTCCGTGTATCCGTGCACACATACACCTAGGCCCTTATGCTTTCTTGTTAACACAAGATATCGAAAATGTTCATCATTCACTCTGTTCGTTTGATCGTATCAACCATGCTTATCAGTCATGATACAGTGTTTTTCTCTCACAACAAAACAGCATCAGCCGGCTTATAAGTCAAAAAAACGATCAAGCGAACATGATGATTGTATCTGACTCTGAATGCAGCCCTAAAATAAATGTGCACGAATCCTCATTTGAATATCGCCATTGTACACCTAGACCATCGTGCTATCATGTACTCCCTTTGTCCTTTAATATGAGTCACCGTGAGAAGCGTGCTGGTCAAACTTTTTAATTTTGACTATATTTATAGAAAATATTAGTAACATTTATATTTTTAAATAAATTTATTGTGAATATAGATTCAACAATTTATCTAGTAAATACTAATATATATATATATATATATATATATATATATATATATATATATATTTGGTCAAAGTTAGGATGCGTTTGACTTCTCGAGAAATGAGAAGGACATATAAAAAGGGACGGAGGGATTAATACAAGGATATCCTTTTTTTGTGATTGTATACAAGGATATCCAAATAAAGCGTTTATTATCAGTATATCTAAATGCTTGCGAATCCTCCATTTGGATATCTGATATCTGTTGCTTTAGTTAGAGCTCTGCATTAATACGTACTTGAGCTCTCAAAAGCTCTATAAATAAATTATAAATACGCACGTACTGCACCACCAATCTACCATAGTGGCATAGTCTCCGTACCATTCCTTCCATTGGCCTATCAAGCTAGTATCAGCGAAACAGTAGCTAGCGACGAACATTGGCGTTGTGGCGGCAGCAACAACGACGACAATTTCCCCCACGCTCGCCGTGGTCCTTCGACCCTCGTTTGATTCCGACGGCCGGCATAGATGAAATCTCATGAGACCCGCCCACTATTACTACAAAAAAGCCCTGCCCTGGCACCTTCGCTAGACGGAGAGTAAGCGACTTCTATTAGCACCGGACCGTCGAGTCGAATTGATCGTGTCATGTGCAACGTCCATCAATGGTGGTTCATTAATGTCCATAGGTGGCAACCGGCGCCGCCGGTGGCCACCGCCATCTTGAGGTCAGGAAGGCCAATGACTTATAAGCCAAGCGAGCAGGAGGAAGGTTGACGGCGCGCTGAACTCCGGCGCCACGGTGAAGTGGAGCAAGTACACGATGCTCCGCCTCCACTACTGCCGGCAGGACCACAACGACGTGGCGTGCACCGTCCCGGAGTGCCGCGCGTTGGTCCAGGAGTACAATCCGCGGTGTGCCGGTGGCCGCCACGGGCAGCGGCAACCTGATTCCTCTGAGTACCTGGAGTGCGCAGGCAGGCTGTTGCACGCTGCAGATGACTGCTGGGTTCATATGTTGTACCAAGTCGTCGAGGTCGCTAGTCGGGCCAACCTCGCCAAAGCTATGGTCGAGCAAATGGTTGGCGTTGCTGACGATGATGATCATTAGAGCCTTCTACTGATTTATTTACGGAGCTATAGCTAAAACCATGTAATTTGATAACTTGCTCCTATATTATGCGAATAAAAGAGTTGTAATTAACAAGGTGACTTGAAAATATTACACATGCATATATAAGCCTTTTTTTTCTTTGCCGTTGGATCTGACATTTGTGCAGCTCAACTTCTTGATCTGACTCACCTTGCTGAGCAAGGATCGATGTTTGTTCGCTAGATGAATACTCGCTTCGCCGAGCAATCTGGCTAGCTTAAGCAAAGAATAGGTTGCTTTGTCAGCTAGCAGCGGAAAAATAAGAAAAATCTTACTTTTAGTTTGGTAGAATCTCTACTAGTAGCCATTGGAACTATTTTGTTCTCTAAAATGATATCTTTATCACTATAAAAAATACATCACGTAACACCTAAATTTGCATCTAAATTACTGTAACCTACCAATATGAAATTAAGATACACTACTCTAGATCAAGTTTGAGTGTCAGAGTGTCTAAATGCCCAAGTGACTGAGTGATCGTGTGCTAGTGGCTAAGTGATTGAATGACTGAGCCTACTATATTATCCACGGCTGAGACCGAGTGACTGAAAAACATAGTGGTCGAGTGTTTAGGTGATGAGTCAAGTGCCTTTGTGGCAGAAGAGAATATATTTAAACCATTATTAATTACGAACCAACTCAAGTGTGTGCTAGCCCCCTGTTGCGCCGTGCCCCAGGCACTGCGCCCTTGGGCTTGCACTCCGCCGACGGACGCTCGCCGGTCAGGTCACACGCTCGCAGCCACGTGCCCGTGCACCACTACGCACAGCGCACGCCAACCTGGATCTGGTACTCGTGGATGTGGACTTAGCCCCGTACGCTGCCTGGCGTGGGAGAAACTGGGCCAAATGCCCACTGGCCTTGTTGGGCCATCGAGTGGGTTTTTCCTACACATACATGTATATACACACTATACATATATAAAATTTTCCGGCAAAAAAGAGTGACTACAGACCTTTCGCATGATTTTATTTCAGTCTATCAACCAGATTTTCATCCGATCATTACATGACATGTAGGTTTCTGAAACTAGATCAAAATCTGGTAAATAATGGAAAATAATTACACCCAAATTTTATAGAAAAATAAAACAATAAAAAATGAATGAAATTGCAACAATCAACAACCAGATCTAATCAAATAGGCCACCTCCTCCTCACGTGCAGCGACAAACCACACAGGAATCTCACGTGAAAAAAGATGACCAACAGAATACGGGACCACAGCAAGAACATGTGTGCCAAGAAAGAAAAAACAGCAAAGGTTGAAAAAAAATGTTCGCCTACTGTTGTTCGTCTGAGCTCCTGCTGTTCGCCTGCTGTTGCACTGCTGCTGAACTGATTAATTAAAAAATGCAATCCAGCTGAGCAAACTGCAAAGAGAAAATGCAATCCAACAGAACAAACTGCTACCACTAGTCTGCAAAAAAACAGAGAGTTGAGCTGCGCTGGACTGAGAAACTGAAAATCAAAACAGAGAACTCAAATTGTTCCAGGAAATCTGAAACACTAAAATAAGAAGAAGCTAGGAGAACGGAGAACTCAATCGATCCAAGAAAAATTGAAACACTGAAACTCAAAATACATAAAACTGAAACTGATCAAAAGAAGAAAAAACAAAACTTAACCAAAGACAAGACAAACAAATATTGAAATAGAAAACTTAAACATTTACTGAAACAGATTAACCACACTCTGATCTGTTATGCTATGCTCTCTCTATCACTCCCTCCATCCTCAACCACCCCATTCTATGTGGATTTGTCTCAAAGGTACAGGTAGATCTAGGAAGACAGCAACACCTTGGACACCATGAACCTAAATACATGTTACCGCTCCTCTTCACTACCTCCATTGCTTGCTTAAGAATCAAGGAAGCACAACCATGGTCTCATGGCATAACAAACAAATGGAACAAATAAATCAATAAAATAGCCATGTTCTGAAAAACTGAAATAACAGAACAAACAAGACCCTATCCAAGCAGGTCCTTCAACGAAATCAAATGGAGACAGAGGTGATGGCCTCTGCAGTATGCAATAAGCCTATTGTATGGAGATGCAATGTGCATAGGACACATCATGGCTCAAGTTATTAACTGAACTGAGATTCAACAAAAAAATTGAAATAGTTCACACTTGTACAAATGAAAGCACAGTCAACACACACAGCCACATAAAAAATGGAAATGAATGAAACTGAACAAAAAAAAAGACTACTAAAACTAAACCACTAATAACTATAAGCTGATGGAAACATTTCAATAAAATCTACAAGACCAACTTAAGAGATAACACAAAGACTACAATAAAAAAAACAGACATCACACAACTACAACTTGCAAAAGCTACCATACTGACAAAAATGAGTACAGACAATAAAAAAAACTGAAATACATGCAAGCAATAAAAAAATATTCAAAACTGAAAATTCAAAAAATTCAAAGACCAGTTGTTTGTGAGTTAGCCGGTGCAGTAGAAGCCACACACTGAAAACAAAAGATGGGGGAGGTCAGTTGGAACTAGTCACCAAATCTGTAGACCTAATTGTTGGAGAGAGTGGGAAACCAAAGAACTAAGGATACTGACAAAAAGATGGAGTCAAAGACTAGTGCTCATTCAGTGAAACATGGAAACAAAAAGCAGAAACAGACCAAAAGTCATCGATAAAGAAAAGGGTCATTCCATATTTCCATCAATGACTAACCTGACGAGTCAATTGACTAATGCAAGGCTGACCACTTGAGAATCCAGAAAATGAGTTTGGAAATGTCTGGACTGATGAACATAGGTGCCTGATAGTGAAGTCCACTTTACCAACAAGTCCTGAAGTGAAAAAATGGAGATGGGATCAGCCTACTTTGGTAAACACATACCATCACAAGAAAATATCAGATACAATCTACAATCTGAAAGTTTCAACACTTAATCAGACTCTTTTTTTCTCCATTAGAGACCGAAAGTAAGCAACAATCTAAGGATACACTCTACATATATTACTAATACTGAAATTAGATTGAGAGAAACTTATATTGAATATATAATGAAGCTATTTTTAGGAAACTTATACTGAAGATTGGGAGAAAATACAACAACTTATAATGAATATATAATTAAGATGACATGACAAAACACCTGAAACTGAACCGAACACTCAAAATCAGGCTCTGAAACAACATTGGAGGCGCCCAGGAAGCAGACCTGCAATGTGAAGACGCGGTCGTCGATCTGGACCTCCTTGGTGAGGAAATCCGTGCCGATGGTGGCCTTGTACTAGTTGCTGAACTTGTTGTTGACGTACCTGCGCGCAACAAACCGAGAAATCGGTCCCCGATCAGTAATGAAACATATTATGTGCTACTAGCCAAAAAAACATGCAAATAATAAAGTTTGGAGTTCTTGTATGACTATGAGTTTGTTGAAAAAAAGAGGAGATAAATATCTTGGTGATACTTGCAGCCAAAACTTGGTTTCCACCAATTTGTGTAAATCTGAATGGAGTATGTGGTCATACCCATGCCTTGGGTCTCAGATTTTGGACCATATATAGGTTATTGATCAGAAAAATATACACAAAAAGGATATCCTAAAAACATTGACCACTGATCAATAAATAAAAACCTAATATGGCATAAAGTAGGCATTTTATCAAACACGTGAACTACAAAGCAACTGGGAACTACTGCTCCCCTGCAAATGGACGATCAAAAAAATCTGAATCTCCCACAACTATGAATCCCTGTAGAAGCACAGCCGCACAGGTGACCAATGTTTGAGCTCTGGACGGTCATAAGACAAGCACAAGACAGAGGATCTCACCGAGGGCGAGGCAACAAAGTTTCTCGGAGAACCAGCAGCAGCGTCCTACCGATGAGTGAGAAACAGGGCTCTCGAAGAACCAGCACCAGCGTCCTTCACGACTGAAAATTGAAAAACTACAATACTGAAATCTGAAACACTGAACATTGAAGGAAAACTGAACCTCAATCTATACACTAACATATACTGAAATGTCTGAATCAATACTAACAAAGAAGACCACACACTGATAAACAATTCGGCTTGATCGGCATATGAACAGATAGATACAATCATAGAACAGCAGAGCAGGTGCTACCTAGGTACTAGCAGGTATTGGAATCGGCATCCATACCATACATATGGCGAGCAAGCAAGGAACAGTAGTAGCTAAACTAATAAGCTACTAATTGGAGATGGCGTACACAGCGTACATGATGCCAGGGATGTAGGCGAGGAAGGTGAGGAGGAGGCAGATCCAGAACTCGTGCCTGCACCCGAACCAAAAATGAATGAAATCAAAAATCAAATGGACGACACAAATGACAACATGAACCTTCAGCTTTAGTAAGCGACGGATACGACGAGAGAAGCACAGGCCTTCGTCGACAGCCGGAGTTGTCGTCGGCACCACCGGCTCTGCCTCCGCCTCAAGAGCCGCCTCTGGCACTGGCGTCGGCACCTACGCCCACGACTCGATCGGCCTCCAGAAAGCAACAAGAGCGCTCTCTCTCCTCCACTGAACAAAATGTCTGAATCGATAAGAAAAATAAAAAAAAACAGCGCTGAAAGCCCATTACGTGGGGAAGAAAAGCCCAAAAACAAACTGAAGCGGCCGAAAAAAATAAACCAACACAAGATAGCACGGATCTCAACAAAATCTCAGCCACAGAAAACTGATTGATTAAGACACAACAAATCCACCGAATGATGAATAGAAATTCCACAAAAAATTAGATATTCAACTAAGCTTGACCCTCGAGCTCCGATTATGCAAAGCATTCGGCTCGCGCGAACAAGTGGCGTTACGGCGCGGCGCTCACTTTCTGACATCGGCATCGCGAGCGACTGGGTTGAAGCACCCTCAAGTACATTTGGTCGAGTTCGTTTGCTCATTACTTGCGATGCAAATTGGGACTTGTTGAAAAGTGTTGTACGATTT